TTCTTCCTAACACCTAATCTTAATCTCTCCTCTTTTTAGATTTAACCATTCCCTCTTGTCCTATCACTACCTGCCTGTGTAAAATGTCATTCCCCCTCTTTTTTATAAGCCATCTTTAAGTACGTCAAAGCCACAGTGAGGTCTCCCCAGAGACTTCTCTTCTTCAGACTGAACAATCCCCAGCTCTCTCAGCCTGATTTCATACCAGAGGATCTCCAGCCCTCTGAGCCTCTTCATGACCCTCCTTCGTACCCATTCTAACAGATCTACATCTGTCTTGTGCAAGAACCCCAGAGTTGGACACAGTACTCTGGTTGGAACCACACAAGAGCAGAGTAGAGGGGGAGAATCACCCCCCTTGACCTGCTGGCCACTCAATTAGAATAGGAAGATTTGTATTCTGTTGTTTACCCATAAACCATAAATGAAAAACTTTGTAATCTCAATTTTGTTGTATTAATCAAAACTGTTTGCGGAGTTGACTCTTGTCTGTGTGGTTGAGCATATAAAAATAGAAACAATGGTTTTATATATTCACTTATTAACATCGAATTTCCATATTAAGCCTTTTACTATTACTAAGTAATGTTTGTGTCTTCATAATCCAGCTTTTATTATAGCTACTGATGAAAACTCTATACCTTGCACAGAACAAGAGAAGTACATTCCGGCAAATCTTTGGAATATCGTGGCTTCTTTCTTTAATTAAACCAGCACAAAAATAACATTTTGCTTTGGTTTGGTTTGGTTTGATTTGGGGATTTTGGGGGGGGGTTGGGTCCCTGATGTACCTACTGTTTTTCTAAGACTACTGTATAAGGTCTTCACACTGAACAAAAGAAATTCCAACAGAAGATATTCAAATGATGTTGATTACAGAAAATCCTCTGGACATATAGGGCAAAATTTTCAATGTGCTGTACAAAGGGAAAGTGTTCAAACAGAAATGAACTTTTCTATGAGTTCACTTCCACTTTATGACGTATCTGAATGCACAGAATAGCAACCCTGATCTGTTACTTTAATGCAATTCTTTGATTTCATAAACACGCGTTAAAAAATTTTACTCCAAGAGTAAATCTGTAAAGGGTAGTTAGTATTTCCTATAATTAATTTCCTGTGTAGATGCTGAATATTTATCACACCATATACATATTCCTGCTCTGTGCTAGGGAAAACTGCGCCTTTGCATTTTCCTTCTAATTCCTAGCCCAAATGCATTTCCTCCATATTTCTCTTCAGCTTCAATAACATGTCCTGGCCTCCTGCATTTCTATCCTGAACTGATCAGTGCAGAAACTGTTAACTTACTAAGGGGATACTGCTCTAATTCTCCCTCATTTCAGTCTCTCTCCTTACACATGCCTACTGGACATTTGTACATACTGGAACACAGTGTAAAGGACAATCAAAAACTGTCCAGAGCAACTACAAGCTTAACTACAGTAATGTGACTAAAACTCCCAACTCATATCAAGTTGTCAGGATGCAGAACCTTTCCACTGGCAGTAAAAGTTCAAAGAAGTATTTTAAAAAATTACATGCTGACATATTAAACTGTAAGCCTTAATGTTCACTGACTTGGGCTTCAGTGAAAACACTAGCATATTTAAATATTTGAAATTTTCACTACTTCATCATTTAGCTATAATATCATTGTATTTTAACATTTTCATCTAATTGACATGTTGACTTCCACTAGGAACATTCAAGTTACATTGGTATCTTCTCATATATGACCCCTTTATTATCTGATACTAAAGTATGATACAGCTCTTTCAGTCTTCAGCTGCATGTTATTTATCTATTGATTAGTAAGAGTTATTTTTGAAGCAGTTAATTTGAATCCTCTAAGGGTGGGGGATGACTCAGAAGCCTCCACTGCTCCAGGAAACTTAGAATGTGTTTGATTCTTCAGTTTACCAAATCATTATAAAAATGTGTACTAATTCACAATCAGACTCTAAAATATCCATAGTACTAAAACACCAAAAGATTTAAAAATGTTTCATTTTTATTTTCTCAATTTTTTCCACCAGTATTAAACCAGTTTTCAGATCCTGGATTTGAATCTCATAATGGAACATGATTTACAGTCATGAATTTTCTGTGGAAGAAATCTATTTATTATATTCATTCATTGCATGTTCAAGCATGTCTAACAGAGGTTATCTATGAACATGTGTTCACACAGTTGGGAATTGATCAATGGAGTAGTTAGGTCAAATTCTCAGTCACTGGTGGCATTGGGGACAGACAGTAAAAGTAGTTCTCAGTAGAAATTTTGAATCTTCTATCAGTTATGAAAGAGACGAGTTATTAAAAGCTACACTAATAGAGAAAACATTCTAAGCCAAATAGAACTAGAATAGAGAACACTTATGGTTTTTTAAAAAAATTTACCTGTCCATGAATAAAAGAGGAATTTGTGGACTGTAAAATATAGATTTGCATTTTTTTCAGCCTTTTTCTAGTCCCCAGTTGTCAATGTAAGTTGTATATATAGTATATTAAAGCTACTGCAAGTTAAAGAGTGAGAATTGTTAAAAAGGAGTTTCACTAAACTGAACCGTTGTAAGTAGAACCAAACTACAAGCAGATTACAAAGGCAATGGGACAAATAGACATTGTTAGTGGCAAATATTCAAGAGGAAGTGTAAAGGAAATTCATAGTCAAATATCTACTCAGTAAATCATAGATATTAATTAGCATTTGCCCATTCAAATGTCTTTTTCTGTAACTGGCTGCAATTAACCATAACATTTACAATAAGTTCCTGTTCTCAGGTATGGTGATGGGATTAAAAATGATGACACTTAGAACTTCTGAAACCCTGTACTAAAACATGGCATATTAAAAGAATAGAAAAGTAAAAGGAAGAGGAAAGGAATTCTCTAAAAAAAGGATAGTAGTTACATAGTATTACCAATGATATGCCAATTGCTCATATTATTCTGGTATTTTGATTAGGTTTAATGAAAGATTGACGAAAAATAGATTAATATTAAATCATCTAAGCACTAACATACCATTAAATTAAAGGAGAATTATATTGATTCCCAAGCAAATGATGAAGAAAATAAGTATTTTTACAATTATCTTTCAATTAATAAAAAAGCACCAATTTAGAGCAGGATCCTATGGCACTGCAAAGAAATTCTATGAGCTGTCCTTTGAATTTACAGGAGGGAAAAAAAAAGCATATGAGAACACATTTGGTCTATGAAATGGCTTGTCTGAACATATCTAGATGTGAAACTATTTTTTCTCATAGTACTCAATGAAAGTATTATAATTCTCAAGAAAGGGATTCTGATTTACTTTTTTTAGTGCCAGATGGCCAACAGGAAAAAAAATCATTTTATAATATATATAATTTATAGCTCTTTTATAACCAAATCTATCAGTAAAACTTTAAGAGTTAAATGTCTGACTATATTACATTGTAGCAAAAAAGTATACGCAGTATTTTCCTGCCACAGAAAAACACACTGTTTAAAATACATAATGTTCAAAATATGATTACCAAATTGTGCATAAGATACCAAAACAAATTTATACCCAGATGTCTATTCCAAATTCTACTCAATTTCTGCTTTAGAAATATTGAAGAGATGCCAAGTCATGTTTAATTTTCCTGTCTTGATTTTCAAGAACATTTATCTTTTGTCAACAATTCTTCAATGACTAAGTTCTGAAAATGTTAACAGCCAACTTAGTATATGAAATATTATAAAATTAAAAATATTAATGATATACTAAAATAACATTGATTTCTTTCTGAATTTTCCTTTTTTTTTGGGTGTAGTACAATCATTTTGTATTTCTAAAGAACTCTGTAGGCAGCAATGACTTTGTTATATGAGCTCTACTGTTATTTGATTTTTCAGATGCCAAATTACAGTGTTACTTTTTCTATAGTAAATAAACTTGATAGCGGTTCTGCCAGGAAATACCTGTTTTCAAACCTAAACACATTCTTATGAATGTGACTTTGAAACTTTGTTTTAGGTAGTACTCACAGACCTTGATCTGGTCATACTTAAAGGTAGGACATGATCATTTTATAGTAACGAAAACCAATCACAAAAATGATCACTGAGCAATGTGTTCATCAATGTAACATTTCATATAGAAATAATAGAATATATTTACAAACCTTTGTGCACCTATGCTGAATCCAGTCTCTACTGGAGACAAAATATTGTTGTTTATTTTTTACAAACCCTTTCCTTTTATTTATAAAGACAAAATTATTCTTCTCTGTTATTATTTTGGCTTTACTATTCAGTAGGACATTCAAATATATTATCAGAGTTTGTTTTTCAAACAGCTATTGTAACACAAATACTACCAAAATCTTTTGAGTTTGTTTTCCAGACATAATCCCCTTAAATGCTTATCATGTCTTCTAGTGCATATCTAAGTTTTTTCCGCAGGTGATCATGGAAACAAAAGAGGCTCTGAGCTACCAGCATAAAAGCCTTCTGCCTTGCTTTTTGTTTGTTCTCTTACACCTTCCCTACTTATTGCTTGACTCTTTACTGAAGTATTTTATGACTTAACATTATGAATATTTATTGCAAATTGGAAAATTAATTGTAAATGGCATTCACTGACTTAATATATTTTCACTTCTCAGCATTTTTACATAAAATGTTGAGTGTGTCCTTTACAGCCTTCTTTTCAAAGATATTATTATCAAGAGGATAAATATGCAAGAGCATACCTGGCTGCTTTTTAGTTGCCTTTATGTTTATAGATTCCTATCTGTTGGTAGTCAAATGATAAAGACAAGCTAGGTGATTAATTTTTCCACTGTGGTAATCACATTGATTTAGTTCATATTCATGACATTTCATATTGTTAACAGTCAATGACCTCAAATTAATATAGAAACAGTTTTGGCAAACCAAAGCACAATCTGACAATGCATTTACAACTGTGATTGTGTTCTTACTATGCTGAGACTGAAATGTCAGTTATATTGGGAATGAGGGAATAGTACATGTATAGAGAAAAAAAATATCATATATGATTATACTTGAAAGTTAAACTATTGTTACTGAAAATCAGAACTCTAAACATAGTACATACGACCACCGAGAAGAGCAAATAAATGCTCAACACATATAGTATAGAAATATGAGGGTATAGCACAAGTACAGAACACCTATCAAAAGCCATAAAATTAACCTTAGAGAATTAATGAAGCAGTGCACTATCACTTATCTGATAATTTGCAACTATAAATCCCAGTAGTGATGGTGACACTTCTATTACTCAGAAATAAACTTTCTATTTCAGTTTTTGGTAGATGAAAACTTAAATACTCATCTTAGAAGTTTGTTTTTAGAGCAATGGATCAATTGTTTTTCAGCCAAGAACTGTAGAGTAGCTACACCTGATTTTTGTACATTTCACTGTGGCTGCTGTTTGAGAGCTGAGATCTTGTACTTAGGTTTTGTGTGCATTACACATCCATCTGTTCCTCCATCTGGCAAAGAAGAAAAAAAAAGAAATTAAGAAAAAAAGCATAGGAATGCTTTACAAACTCTTTTCACCAATACACCAGTTGTTAGCTTCCTGCTGGTAGCCCTAGTATAAGCTTCATTGGGTAATTATTTCAAGCAGGAAACAACCAACCCGCATGTTCAGAAGTAATTACTAGTTAAATTAACCATATAGAAGCAGGTAATCTTTTCTTCTTAAGATGCAGAAACAGAAGTATAATAATATTTGTGTGTCTTTAATGTAAGCACTTAGATAGCATCTGTGCAATTCTATACCTGTATATATTTTTGTAATTGAAGCAAAAATCTCATACTAATAGAAATGCTCTACATAGATAGTAAATCATGAATGGTCACATGAACTTTCCTATGTACTTTTTATACCATGGGTAATATTAGGTCTATTGCTATCTAACATTTTCATTAATGATTTGAGGGTACGCAAACAGTAGAACTGAATTCACACATAATATTAAACTGGGAAGTACTATACACTCAACTCAGGACAACAGCGCAGACATCAGAAGTTAGGGAAATACAGGCAGGAAATTATAAAATAGACAAAGAAAAAAACAAGGTAATACATCTGGGGAAAAAATAAAACAAAACCAGGACAGTAGAACTGAGAAGAACTGTGAAAGCTGGCACACTGAAAGAGATTTAGGGGTAGTCGTGGACAACAAACATGACAACAAATCTGAGTCAAGGACAGAAATAACAAAGATGTACCTTATCAAGAGCTGCAGTAATCTACTTTCCTTCTTTGAACAGTTAATCCCCAGCAGATACCACGATTTTCTCCATCTACTTATTTCTATTTTTTTTGTGCATTACTCTGAAAGAAAAAGTAACATTATTATGGAGTATATGTCCACATAAAGTCTTGTCTTGAATGATTCATAAAGTTTTTAATGGTTTAAGCTTCATTTTTTGAGGTCTGCCCCAAACAACAGGAGAATGAGCTAATTCACTATAAGTAACAATGTGGTATCAATAGATATTAGCCTATCTCTGAAATCTACTGTTCTTAATTCAACATTTCCTCACTTCAGAAACTTGAAAATACTGTTTAGTTGCAATTATTTTGCTCAAGTTTAAATGAACTTTCAAATTATTAACCTCATAAAACTTTTCTACTTTCTAAGATTTTATTTGGGCTGCATAAATATAGAAAGACACTGTTGTGATGTGATATGTGGCACAAAGTGAAAGAAGTTTTGATCCTTGAGAGAATTGCCCTTGTGAAAGCCATTTCATTCTAATTACTATGAAATTACTTAAGCCTGCTTATTTCGCACTTTGGTCATCAAACAGCATTTAAAAATACATTCCAAATTTTTGTATTTTTTGAATATTTTCATTTCTCTGGGATTATATGTAATGTATTAATTGGCCTTGCCTTCCTAATACTGCAGAGAGTAAAAAACAAGTGCTCCAGTTACATAATGCTTTTATGGTGCATCAACATTGAATTTATTCTCTTCCATATGGTCTATCAGGTAAACAGATTTAACAGCTGATACGCATGAAATCAAATACTGTCCCATAAAACAAACTTTTTTTTCAAATATAGTTACAGGGCATAATTTCAATGAGATTTGTTCTATGACATTAAAAGGGAGTTTCTTTGTACACCTTCCAGTAAGAGAAAAAAATAGGAAATGTCTAAATAATGGATCAACTGCAAGCTGCCACAGTCATCCTGTATGTTCTAAACCATTCAAATGCAAGTGACCTCTCATCCAGAAGTTGATTAGATATACAAACATGTAACTCTGCCCATAATGGTGAATCATGTCTCTCTATAAATGGAGAGAGAGCTTACAATGAACTAAAATTAAATTCCTACACATTTGTAAGACTTGATTCACATCTATCTATTGTGAACAAAGAATTTTATAGATAATTGTACTAATGCTTCCCTGAGCTGAGTGAGTATCTAAAATTTCAGTGCAAATATGCCTATATATTGGGCTGCAACATAGTGTAGGAAAATCCAAGTGGCTTCTAGTACTGCAAATAAACTAATTTGGCTACTAGATGAAGTTTAGCTATTGGACTGTACAGATTCTTGTGAGAGACTCTTGTGAGAAAGAACAGAATTTCAGCTCTAATGTCAATAACATTAACCAGAAGAAAAGAGGTGAAGGTGAAAATTTCTTCTCAATTTATAATACATTCCATAGTGAAATGAGATTGTCATTATTATTCAATTAGGATTTTCTAACTCAGCCATAAAATTGAGATTGAACTCCAGACTAATATGCATCCTGAACCGAAAAGAAATCCTGTAGTTCACTGGTATACCTTTCTTGCATTCTAAACTTCTCTAAAATGTGTATGCATGTGTTTTTAAAAGAAAGAGTTTCACTGACATATTCATCTCTTATTTTCCCATGTATTTCTTAATTGGAAATTAAAAAAAAGTGGGAAGAAGAAAGGTTAAAATAAAACCTGGTCTTTCAGATAATCAGACTTCCAAAAGGATTTTTTGAAGGTAGCTTTGGAGAGAGGGAACATTTAGAAACCAAAAGCAAACCACTTGCAACGACTTTAACAAAGATCTATGCTAAGGTCCCAGTGTGTTGCTCTCCTTTCTCTACATTTAGTTTCGTTGATACTTCATTCTTTATTTCTGGTTGAGGTATGCCACTATATCCTACTGTGAATTCTCATTACTTAGAAACATGCTTTCCAAGAACCTGTGTTTGTGGACTCATATGTTTTTCTAGAAAGACTTCCCTTCTCATCATAAAAGAGAAATGGGATCCTTTGATCTCAGGACTGAACATATTTTCATATTATGTTCATCACTAAAACTAGGTGTTAATAAAACAACTCTTGCTACTATTTTTAATGTCCATTTCTCCCCCAGACTTCACTATGGACTAGTCTTTCTTAAGGAGACAAAATATTTTGTAAAACCCTCATCCCACAAGCCACAATTTAGCATGACCTTTTTTTAATTGACAAATTTGTCAAATTTGGATCTAAGTTACCATCTGACAATTTTCATGTTTTTAATAATCTGTATCTACAGCCTTGCTTTTTGCCCTGCTGTTCCAGCGAATCTGAAGACATAATGATTAATATTTTCAAAATTGCATAGAATATGTATGTCTGTGGGTGTGGAAGAGAGAGAATGAATGTGCACAATTTAATGAGTTCATTTTTTGTTTTACTTTAAACAGATTCTTTGCAGAAATATAGGAAAAGGTAATGCTAGAGAAACAATTTTCATTATAATTCCTCCAAGAAAAAGTAGCGAAGGTAACAATTATGTTTGGATAATCTGTTCAATTAATCTAACATCAGATTTAACTATTGTTTAATACAAATGGCAGCTACAGTGGGACCTCATCCTTGTTTTAATGAGCTGCTTATGGTACTCCATATTTTGGTACCTGAATGAACAGGCTGTTTTTGTTCTCTTTCTTCTGAACTGGATAGTGGATTTCTCTGCCCAGTTTTTTCTGAGTCACCATTTATCTTGCAGTAGCACAGAGAACATATCCCGGCCATGATCTGTTCCCAGGGAAGAATTCAAGATAACTGGAACAGATGCTATCTCCTGTCTGAGAAGAGTTAGCTCTTGCTTGAACATCAACTCTTCTTCTTCTGTCTGTCACTTCCCACCACACTCAACTGGATATTCAGTCATAGATCAATGATCAGATACAACATGAAATGGTGACCAAATTCCAGTCCCCACACACAGTACTCAGAGGGTAAAATCTTTAGCTCTATAGAGGAAGCAGAATGAGACCCTTGTGAACAATCTCAAGGGAAAGGACCAGCTGGACTCACAAGTCTGTAGTGCCCCAGTCCATTTGGTGGGTTTAGGGGAAGGTAGTTGTATTTACTCAGGGCAGTGCACAGGAGAAACAAAAAAATTCTCAGGAGGTTCAAAAATAACTTTTATTTGCAAGCTTTAGAAGATTCCAGTGGAATAAGGTGCTTGGGAAAGTTTAACATAGCAATCTTTAACTTTTCCAGACACAACAAGGCACTTAACAAGGCATGGAATGGAATTTTTTGTTCTGGCTTACAATCCATTCTGAGGAGAAGAAGGTAGGAGAAGAAAGAAAAAGAGAAAGAAAAAAAAAAAAAAGGAGAGAGAAAGGTAAATAGTTAGCATCCCAGGATCCAACATGGTCTCAGCTGCTTTTAAGTCCAGGGTAGTGGAGCACGCCATGTGGCACACATGGCATTGTCCTTTTATCTGTTCAGGTCTGCTGGGGCCCTTCCCCCAGGTGAGCTGATGCTAATTTCAGCACCAAAGTCTCACACCTGTGTTTTAGACAGAGCCAGAATGTTCCCAGTGGGCCCACACGGGCAGTTGCCCCCATTAGAGTGCAGGCCGGGATCTGACTTCACAAATACACATGTGCTACGTAGTGCAGGGCCAGAGAGGCTCAAGGGGGTGGGGGAAGCAATGTGCCAACCCACATACCCGGAGTTCATCCTATTCCCCCACCACTTCCCACCTGCTTGTTTTGAGCCAGTCAACCTTTTGTCCCGTCTCCTACACTTTCCCTCTGCAGAGTCAACCTTCTGATGTCAAGGAGTTGATTTTAAACTCATTGTGCTTTTTCAGAGTTGAGAATCTATGCATGGATTGAAACATGGAGATGTTTAAAGTAAAAAAATACTAATAATATGAAGAAGAAAAAGATGCCTAATTTTTGGAAAGTGCCAATTACCTTCAGCTTTCTTTTACTTCCAGAGATTCCTGGATCTCTGAGTTATTTTTACAAGGAGCCTGAGGGGCTTTGGTGCAGGACATAACTAGTCAAAATAGACAATAATCTTAAATTTAAAGAAAAAAAGAAAACAAATACTTCCTATTAGTTGATGTCACAATATCTGTTCAGTACTTCTGTTTTCATTCTCTTCTCTGTGCCAAATCCAACGAGTTGTATAGTCCACCCTGATGAGGCTGAAGCCGAACATCACGAAAAAAGTTAAAGTTTAGAACACAATAGTGCACTCAAAAAAGCCATAAAATCATTAATTTTGTAATTCTTAAAAATTTAATTGTGAATTTGAGCAATCAATGTTTTTGGGGGTGTTAAATATTGCAGCAGGCAATAAGATAATATTTAGGAAGGTATGAGAGAAGACTAACTGCATTTAAAATTTCCTGGATATTACTAGCAAGATGGCTTGATTGAAATCATACTTTTTTTCTCCACTTTACAAAGCATTTATAAATTCTATTTGGTTGTACTGCTTTGTGCCTACCTTGCAGAGAAAAATTACTTTTTTTCTCACAGACTCACAATTATTGCTGATATGTGAGTGAATTGCCAACCTTATGCATACTCTAAAGGACACAGTTTCTGTTCCGAAGGGCAAAAAGCCTCAACAATGTATTGTGCCTTTTCAATAATCTTTCCATGGAAAATTGTCTAACTGCACATAGAAGTGAAACAATCTACCAACGAGATGACAATGAGGTTCTGTAGAAGCAGCTCAACTGGACCAGGGTCCATCAGTTGGGAAGATTGTGCTTCAGGTTTATTCAGATCATGTGAAATGCTTCTAATGAACAACTGGGGAGAATACTGCAGGCAGTTCTTCCACTGTTGAGGCTAATTTAAACAGTTTCCATGGGACAGTAAAACAAGATGTGTTGGCATCTGCAGTTTAGGAGTCAGTCCTGCTGTTGGCTTGATCTTTGCTCACCACTAGGAATATATTTTTCATTTCAAGGGTACTGCAGCACTGGCAAGGCTTTCTGGAGAGTCTATGAAATCTCCACCCTAGGAGTTTTTCAACACTGACGTACATAAAGCTCCAACTGACCTACCTTGTGTTGGCTGTACTACCACCTCAGGATGTAGGTGGAAATAGGAGACCCCCAGATGTCCCTTCCAAACATTTCTAGGATTCCATAACCCTTAATTACCTGCCTTCAGGGAGACATCAGTAGGTGTGCTGTTCTGAAAAGACTGAAATATACCAACCATTCCTTTTTGTTTTTCTTCTAAATGGGAAAAAAAAAAAAAAAAAAAAAAAGAGGAAAAAAGTAGAACCAGGTGTTTTTCAAAAAGTAGTAAATAACTACAGATTGTTTTTACTTAAGTGGCTTTAAGAAAGTCCAAAACAGTATCCAAGGCAGAATTCTGACCAAAAAAATATTGAAGCAGAACAATATTTATTTTGTAAACACAGCACAGTTAACTCTTTCATTAGTGATAGCAGTTTTATGGTTTATTATAGTGAAAGAGATATCCATTTTAATAATATTTTCTCTTTCTCACAATAGTACTGTAGGATATAGAAAGAATCATAGTCCTTATGCCTGCAAAGATGTTTTTGTAAACACAGATAAATGTATTGTCTTCCAGACTGGACAGATAAACATATGGAAGCTATAGTTCAAACAAGTCTTTGACCTATCTGAAAGGATTACAACTTTATAATTCTAAACTATGGGACATAGTCATCTTGAACTCACATTGGCTGAAGTACATTTAATCGTGGAGGAGACAGGTGCAGATGCCATGACTGCCACAGTTCTGCGATTCATTCACTCTTTGTGGAAAGGAAAAATATACCTTGACAAAATGATTATAGCTACAACTGCAATTTAATTCTAGAACAAAAGAGTAGCCTTAAGGGCAGGTAGTTCCTCCCACTCTCATACTCAAAGCAAATAAATGTATATCGAATTGCATCCAGAATTATCTACATCTAGATGACACTCAACATCATTATGTCAATAAAAGCCTTAAGCAACTTAGTAAAAAGCAACTGTCATGTATGTGATTGAAAAACACACCAAAAAAAAGGGTTTTTTTCCTTCTTGATTTTTCTGCTGTTGTAAATTGATGGATCCATCTGGTACATTAGGATTTCACTGGACATTTTAAGAAACTGCTTTAGATGAAGTTGAAAGTTTGACATGATGTTATGAATTTCATTGATAATGTTCAAGTTAAGGAAAAAACCCTACCTCTAATCTACTCTGGCAAACAATTTTATTTTTTCATTCATTTTATTGTATTTATTTTATGTGTATTCATTTTATTTTATTCAAATAACTAGATTTAATATGACATTTAAACTAGGATTGAAGCATTCACACCCATGATCTACTGAATCTATTAACTATTTCTAATTAAAAATGCTGTCAAAATAATACTAGCAACATGTTACTTTGCTTTTAATTATTCAACAATAATAGAGTGAAGAAACACCTTCTCATTTATAATTCTGATGGGGCAGTATATTGTGTTTGCATGGCACATTTTCAGAAACAAGGGGCTACAACGACAGCTTCTGTGACAAGATGCCAGAAGCTTCCCTTGTGTCTGATGGAACCAATGCAGTTGACTCCAAGACAGATCCACCACTTGCCAAAGCCAGGCCCATCAGCAATGGTACTGTCTCTGGGATAACATAGTTAAAGAAGAGGAAAAATTTACTGCACTAGAGCAAATTGCAGCTGGAGAGATGAAAGAGAATATATGAGAGCAATTGCCCCCCAGACAGCAAGATCAGTGAAGAAGGAGAAGCAGGAGGTGCTCCAGGTGCTGGAGCAGAGATTCCCCTGCAGTCTCTGGTGAAGACCATGGTGAGGCAGGCTGTCCCCTGCAGTTCATGGGGGTCCACAATGGAGCTGATATGCACCTGCAGCCCATGAAGGACCCAGTACTGGAACAGGTGGACGCCAGAAGGAGGCTGTGACTCCATGGGAAGCCTACACTGGAGCAGGCTCCTAGCTACCTGTGGCCCTGTGGAGAGAGGAGCCCACTCTGGAGCGGATTTGCTGGCAGGACTTGTGACCCACAAGGGACCTGCACTGGAGCAGTCTGTTCCTGAAGAACTGTATCCCGTGGAAGGGACCCATGATGGAGCAGGGAAAGAGTGCGAGGAGCACTCCCCCTGAGGAAGCAGGAGCAGCAGAAATGGCTGACCACAACCCCCATTACCCACTGCCTGCACCACTGTGGGGGAGGAGGTAAAGAATTCATGACTGAAGCTAAGCCTGGGAAGTAAGGAGGAGTTGTGTTTTTAAGATTTGGTTTTATTTCTCATTACCTTATTGTGATTTGATTGGTAATAAATTAAACTATTTTCCCCAAGTCAAGTCAGGTTTGCCCATTGCGGTAACTGCTGAGTGGTCTCTCCTTGCCCTTGGTCTCGACTCACAAACCTTTCGCTCTATTTTCTCTCCCCTGTCCAGCTGAGGAGGGGAGTCATAAAGCAGTTTTGGTGAGCACCTGGTGTTCAGCCAGGGTTTACCCACCACAGGCAGTATATAAAATTAGTATATTATTTGAAAGTGTAAATTACAATTGCCAACATCTGGTAAATTAATGCCAGTTGATATAACTCTGATAATAAGCCTATAGATTTATACATAAACACTTTACATAGAATAAAAATAATATTGTTCAATCCAGGACTAAAATTTACTGTATCTTAGTACTTCTTGAACTTTGCAAGACTACCATCATGGTACACCAGTGACTTTGAAAATATTTTTGTCCAAAATTGTCATGACATTACAGACTTAATATTATTATGTACTATTATAACTTGTCTTTATATACAGATTTCTATTTTAAGAAAATAAAGACTTATAATTCATAAAATGACTAGCGAGTAAATTTATTATCATCTAATGATAATAATAATATTTGGCATACAGTAGTAAGCTTTATTTGGGAATAAGCGGGGAAAAATATTTAATTCTCAGACACCAATATACTTTTATTATAAATAAGAGTTTGCATTTGATTGATTATGACATTCAAAATCACAGTTTTGTGACAGCACAAGTGACCATTTTATGATCATGCTTCACTGGTGAAATTTTAACATCGAATGAGAAAGAGAAAAAAACCAAATACTTCATTTCCACCTACTGGGAGTAATATTTACCTAATACAAAGAAAACTATAGCTAAAAATAAAATTATTCTACCTTTTCAAAGCTATATTATTTTTAAAGGTTAATTTCCAAGAAAAAATATTCAACAAGTAACAATACATGCAACTGTGCTCGTTAGGTTTATATTGTCACTTTTTCAGCCAACTGCTCAATAAGAAGTCCCTTCTCTCAGAGATCATTATCAGTATGCACTACATGTTGTTAATACTTTTAGTGTAAGGTTAAAATAATCCTTAACCTTAAAAAAAAGTAAATGAACATACTTGTACCAATAATGAAAAAGCATACCATTCTTTCAAACTTCTATGTATGTGTGGTGGTTTGGGCTAGGCCTTCCTTGGTGACCAGTTTGTAACCAAGGAAGGGTCCAGATTTACCCAGTATTCCCTACGATTTTTATGTAAACCAGACTATAAGAAGAAAGGAGGAGAGGCC